CTCCTCATCTGCTCAGTTCTGGAGAAAGAGGATAAACTTTACCACTTATTACTAATGCTGGATGTTGGTGGGGCAAGAAAAATGGTGGAGCCTCACAGGAGAAATGGCTTTTGGGTAGTAGGAGATGATTGTTTGGGCTGTCTATGAACACAGGCTGCCCCAAAGCTTAAACTGTCCTCCCTCAATACTGTACCTCTGTGTGTTTACTTTAACCCATCCAGTGAAAGGCTCAGACCTCCTTGAATTGGACAGTAGTGTATTCTCTGATGTGAGCCAAGGTACAGTTTTCAGCCTCCAGCGAAAGTTGCCCAGAGTGATGCAAAGGCTTTTTGAGCCTAACAGACATGCAAGATTTAGTTAACTGCATGAAACACAAGCTGATAGCTTATTTAGTAATGACAGTAATTTGAGGATGATGGAGTCTTTGACTTGAGAGCAGCCCTGAAGATGCCTGCTCTTTAACCTCAGGATCTCATATAGCAGGATAATTACCAGAGCAGAAGATACCTTTTCTTTTTCTAGACATCCAAGCCATGCTGCAAGCATCTAGGACAGACACTGGCAACTTCTAGCCCTCAGGTCAAGGTTAGCAGAAGGTAGATACTGTGGCTTTTCTTGTGTTCACTTACACAGTGGCTGGGATTTCAGAGTTTGAACAAATCCTAGAATAAGGTCACGTTGGCTACCATTTCATTCATTTTCTGGTGGCTCTTGTGCTTAGCCTCCACCCAAGAAACAATTTATTTTATCATAACACTTCTACTGAGTGTTTCTATGAGACAAGAGATGCCCCTAGCAAGCCCTTAGACAAACCTGAGCTGGGGTATGTTTTATAGCCACTTTGATCAAAATCTTAGAAGAAAGTGAACCTTCCTAATGCTAGATGTTATGTCAAAGTCACCAAGAAGAGAATAATTCATAATTAGCTTATATATTTCTATGAAAACCAAAAACTATAATTTCTGTTAATTATTCATTTATTTTCCTTCCTTTCTGCTTTTTAGTATAAAACAGTCAATCAATGGACATGAGCACATTTTTTTTCTTTTCTTTTTTTTTTTTTTTTTTTTTTTTTTTTTTTTTGGTTTTTCGAGACAGGGTTTCTCTGTATTGTTTTGGAGACTGTCCTGGAACTCACTCTACAGATCAGGCTGGTCTCGAACTCACAGAGATCCACCTTGCTTCTGCCTCCCAAGTGCTGGGATTAAAGGCATGTGCCACCAACGCCCCACATATGAGCACATTTTCATACCAACCTTTCAGCATAGGTACTGTAAACTCTTGATCTTGGGAAATGCTTTCGATAGTTCAGTCCAACAAAGTCAGTAAACAGACAGAAGCACACGTTAAAAAGCTACTGATTAGTGCATCACTCACTAATACCATTTAACTTAAATACCTAAAATTATTTTGTAATCAGCTATGTAATTTTTAGGTACTTTCCTCATTTTATTTGCACAAATTTGTTATGTCTAATTATGAGCTATATGTTATATGTTTTCATATATGTATATAATGTATTTTGATCATATTTATCACCTACTACTATCTTTTGACTCCCTCCTATTCCCATTGATTCCTTTCCTCTTTCCAACCACTTCACCTCTGCTTTCATGTCATTTATTTGTTTATTTTGATGGCCCAATGTGTCAAATTAGGGTTTCTGGTAAGCCAGGTGTTATCTATAAAGACAAAGTCACCTTACTAATGGCTACACCACTGAAAAATGGTCTCTGTCTTCTCCAGAAACCATTAAATACAGCGTTTGGGGGGGGGGCGTTAAATAGAGCAGACACAGAAATCCCCAAGTATTTCAGTCTTCTAGTGTTATACAGTGAGGAAGGCTACTTATCTAGGGGACTCTTGGAGTTGAGTTTCATGTGGTAACAGGCCAAGGTAAGAATGCTTTGGAAGACAAATGGAACAGTTTCAGATTCTGTAAGATATTTTTAGGGTTCTTTTCTTAGTCATCTTTCTATTGCTTTGATAATAAACCATGATCAGGACAATTTATGGAAAAAAAAGTTTAATTTGTCTGGTGGCTTCAGAGAGTTAAGAGTCCATGATGGTAGAACACAGGAAAAGCGAAAAGCTCTCATCTTGACCCACAAACAGGAGGCAGAAAGAGAGCTTTGGGATCACACACATTCTTTGAAACTTCAAAGCTCACCCCTAGTGGCAGGTCTCCTTCAACAAGGCCACACCTCTTAATCTTTCTGAAGTCTTTCACCAACTAAGGTCCTGCGGGGACCATTTTTATTGAAACCACGGCAGTTCTTCATTGACTGCTGAATAGTCCCATGCAGATTAGATTTCCTAATGCTCAGATGGGCAGCACCTCCTTTCATTATCCTCTGATGTAGCCTTCACCAGTCCCCCGGGGCAGTTGCAGGAGACATAGATCCATGTTTATCTATTTCACTTTATGAGATGCAGTATGTCATAGATGGCACTTATAAAGGTATAGAACTATATCAGTAAAAATTATTTTACATAGCAATAACATCAAATACTCTTAAATTTTAATATAGCGATATTAGCAATCATGAGTTTTGTATGTAAAAGCTCAAACATAAGAGGCCTAGGTCCTTTCCACACTGACAGATGAGGCAGCTGAGTGTCAGAGTTTGTGCCACAGAACTAGAAAACAGGAAATCCAGGGCTATATTTCAGGAATTCTGTTTGATCTCAGGCACTCTCTATTACTCTCATTGCCTTAGTATTAAGGAACAGTAAATGCTGTGGGCTATTGTTTAGGAAGAAGAGAGATGAGAGCACACCCTCCAATGTAACTATTGTTGCTATTGTTTTCTGTGCCTGGTTTTGAACCTAGACAGTAGCTGAATACAAATGGCCATGTTGTCAGCACTCTTCATAGCTTGCTCTTGGGGCACCTGAAGAGCTGCAGAGTCTCCTTTTTATATGCTGTCTTTTCTTATGGGAAGTGCAGCCGAGAGGCTCTCTGCTGAACCACAGAAAAGCTGCTTGCTTCTGGGAATAACCACAGCCACAGTGAAGCCCGATAAGAACTCATAAGAGATATGACTTATTTTGATCAAAGGTGTCAAGAGCTCACAAGACAGGGGTGAGGCTGCCTCCAGAGAGTGGGTGAGATGCATGGTTTTGAAACTCAAAGCCCTTAGCTTTAAACCCCAAAGACAAGATACTTGTCAGCCTCAGTAGATGTTCACAGAGAGAAGCAGAAAGCCAAGAGGAGTGATAAAATGAAACACACTCATAAGGCAAGTAAAGGAAGTGACGAAAATAACCACCAACGAGCATTGTGCATTAAATCTCCCACTGAGAGACATTTTCCACTGATGTGCTGACGTTATTGAAACTGTGTGTAGTGGCTTTTTGTTTGTTTATTTTTACATGTATTTATTGGGTTAAGCAGTAAATGACAATGGCACTGGGGCTTCTAAGGGCAGATCAAGTTGGTATGCCAACGAGGGAAACAGAGACAAGGATTTTGATACATTCTGAAGATTAGGTAATGAGCAGAATGTTCAAAAATGGTGAAGGTTGAATAAGCTGTGGCTGTTTTGTCTACCCATGCTTTCCTGTTTTGCTTAAGGCATGTGGTTTCAGTAAGGAAAATTTAACAACAAAATACCAGGCAGGAATAAAAAGACCCCAAGTTTGGCAAGAAGGGAAGAAGCTAAATAATCCTCCCCCCATCCAAATAACCCAGCATTGCTTAGTTTTCAGAAGAGGACCTAAACCAGGCTGGTTCCCTTTCAAAGCGCCTGCATTTTCTCTCATTCTGCTTCTATAAATAAGGTGATCTGCTAGTCATTGGGAGGTGATAATTGCATCTATAAATTGCTTCGCTTTCAAGTTTCAAATTTAAGCTGTTTTACCTTTGTCCCAGTAGCCCTGCAAATTGCAGAGGTGCATTACAGAGTGTAAACACACCCTCCTCCCCTGCCTGTCTTCCTGGTCTGTCCTTGAGTGAGGGGTGAGGACAGTGTAGAGCATCATCACCATGAACCACTCAGCGCTGCTTTGCTTTTACCCTAGCTATAGCTGCAGCCTGTGCAGGCCAGCAGTTTAAACCCTCTCCTGAGTGAGGGCACTGGTTTGTTTGTTTGTTTTCACACTTAATAGTTGATTTCAAGGAGTAGAAATTCAAAAAATTCCATGAGACTTCATTATTTCAAAATCAGAGGGGGCGGGGATAGGGAGGAGATTAATACCGGACTTACTGAAAAAAGGAACATCCCGCCCCTCCCCCCTATTACTTTTTCCTTTTCCAAAACTAGGGAATGCTATGTGCGAGGAGAAAATATTCTAGTGAACATGGTGTGGTGGCTGGAGTTGTAACAGGACCTGGCTTGTTTCAAAGGAAAGTTCTTAGAATGTGTGGCCCCTGGGCAGCAATTTCCAGGTCCTTATCGGAGTTACTCTCTCCCTGAATTCCAGACAGAGGGCTCTTTAACCCCCGCCTGCCTGCTTCCTCTTCTGCTTGAGCTCCCCTGTGGTAGGGTAATCAGGCTTCCTGTTTCCGCAGGGTGGAGGACTGAAGGAGGCTAGTTCTCTACACAGGTAGGGGAGGAACGTGAAGAGTGCATTCAGACATTCGACTTAACACAGCCTGTGTCAACAAGAGACACCTGAGTTTCCTTGCTGTGGCCCAAATTAACTTACTTGAGGCAAGCCTGAGAATGAATGCCTCGGGAGTTAAGGAGCAGTCAAAGCCCCTCAGTCCCTGAGCTGTGTGTACACATTCACACACAGGATCTGGGATCTCAGCGCACTCGAGACTTCCATGTGCAAGTGCAAATGTGGTCAGTGGAAATGAACTCTCAATTCAGCTTGGCAGCACGTGACTTCCTATTTCTGAAAGGTACTTCCAAGAGACTTCCTCTGTAAAGCCAGCTGAGAACCAGGAGATTTCCTTCGGCGGCGAATAGACAAAGTTTCTTTCAGCTCTGGACAGAAGTTTGCCTTAAGAGATCGATCGAGTGAGGTGTTTTTCTTTCTTCTGTTGTTGCCAGCTTGCAAGGATCTTGTGGCTCCTGTCTGTGATCGGAAGCTGAATACAGTGGTGCAGATCTCAGTAATCCACCCTGTGGAGCAGACGCTGACGAGGTACTCGAGCACAGAAATTGTGGAGGTGAGCCTGGCATGGGTTTCTCCCAGCCTCTGTCTCTCTGTGCGCGCTCTTGTCTGCTAGCATTGTGCATGCTGGTCTCTCCTCCCCCTACCTCTCTCTCGCCCGCCCTCTCAACAGCTGACATAAGTTTAGCTGTGGTCTATGGCCCTGCTGTTGCTTTCATCTGTCATTAAGGAATGCAGATCTGAGGTTTTAAAGCCCAAGCAGAATAAGCACATGGGGAAAAATTGACTTTCCATTAAAAGGTTTTAGCTTTGTTCCACAGAAAACTTTCCACTGTGGATTCCCGGATAACAGAATATTTGTCTATATATTTGTGTGTCTCTATGTATATGATCTACTGTCTATATTGATTTTAAATAAAATGGAATGAACACATTTAATGATGGAAAAAGTTTAAAGTACTCACCGAGTTTAAAACAGGTGAAGGGTTTTTTTGCTCAGAAGTTTTTCCTCTGCCAGTCCGGCCCAATAGCACAAACTCTATATTCTCTACTATGTGTTTCTCAAAGCACAATGTTTTCCAAAGAAAGGTAGGTGATTAACCTGATTAGCCGTAATGTTTCCGGGCAAAGGGTGTAAATATTACTAATGGGATGAGAGATTTCCTATTTACATTTATTGTTGCTAATGCAGTATTCAATGTGTTTCAGGGAAATTCATTAGTGTGTTGGCTCAGATTCAACAGGACAAGTGCTTCCCTTTAGATGTTTTTGTTCTCTCAACACATTTCACGACCTTAGTGAGTGAGATACTTATTTGAACATCTGGGGCTCCATAGAGTATACTCGTAGCTCCTTCAGCTTCTTTGTTTTTCATAGACTTGTGAGCACCACATTTCAGAATGAGGAGTTTCTTTCTACTAACATAGGCAGTCTGCTCTAGGCTGGTTGGCTTAGCTCACCATTTGCTTTGAAGCAGTGGGTGTAACCAATGATTCAGACTGAAGTAGAGTCACTTCTATTATTGGAATGACCTAAATCCTGTGTGTAGCCGCTCTGTGTCTGTTCCCTCTTGCAGCCCCGAATCTGCCCTTTGGAGACTTCAGGTTCTAATGCTGGTACAATGTACAGTTAGTTCATAGTTGAATTAAAAGCAGTCTTCCTCATAAAAAGACAGCTTGACTAAAATTGTAAAGTCCTTGTGTTAAATGAAAACACTTCAAGTATTATTATAACTTAGTTATTTTTTAAACATTACCAAATTTTAAAGTAACTTGGTTTTGTTCTTATGGTTTTGTTCTACTACCCTCATTATTCTCCAATGATAAAATATACATATCCTGAAATTCATTGTCAAAACTATAAAAGTAATTTATGTGAACTTTTATATAGAATATGCACAGCTTTCTTTGTTGTTTTATTCACTGCCTCTCTCCAAATGTGTCCGACATGATGCCAAGAAAAGAGCATTTTGTCTTTTGAAGGATAAAAGAATGAGTGAGTAAATGAATACCACAGCCTTTCAGAAACTTTAGTAGACCACTGGCTTCCTAAATTTTTAAATATTTTCAAGTGTGTGTGTGTGTGTGTGTGTGTGTGTGTGTGTGTGTAATGTGATGTTAGACACCAGCTTTCAAGAAGGGACTTCCGAGGCACTGAAATGTTTTGGGAACCATATTCCAAGCCATAATTTCTTTTTCCCAATCCATCATGTTTAGAGTTCTTCTCACTGGTTTTTAAGGTGCTTTGGGGAATTAAAAAGTCACTGTTAAACATCTAATAACAATCACACACTCATAGAGATAGCTTTCTATTGAAGCAGAGTAAGGAAAAAAAAAACATTTTTTAAAAGAATAGCACAGGATTTCCCAATGGTTTGAGGAAAGAAAAAAAAACTTCACTTAATTTGGTGAGGTGCATTTTAGTTCTTTTGTCTAAATGATATATATATATATATATATATATATATATATATATATATATA